AGAACCAGAAGCAATGGGTTTAAACTGCAGCAAGGGAGGTCTAGGTTGGACATTAGGAAAAAGTTCCTAACTGTCAGGGTGGTTAAACACTGGAATAAATTGCCTAGGGAGGTTGTGGAATCTCTGGAGATATTTAAGAGTAGGTTAGATAAATGTCTATCAGGGATGGTCTAGACAGTATTTGGTCCTGCGATGCGGGCAGGGGACTGGACTCAATGACTTCTCGAGGTCCCTTCCAGTCCTAGAATCTATGAATCTATGGAGGTTAAGTCCATTAATGGCTATTAGCCAGGATGGGTAAGGAATGGCATCCCTAGCCTCTGTTTGTCAGAGGGTGGAGATGGATGGCAGGAGAGGTCACTTGATCATTACCTGTTAGGTTCACTCCCTCTGGAGGGAGCACCTGGCATTGGCCACCATCAGTAGACATGATACTGGGCTGGATGGACCTTTTGTCTGACCCAGTATGGTCATTCTTATGTGATTGATATCATAGAATAGAATATCAGGGTTGGAAGGGTCCTTGGGAGGTCATCTAGTCCAACCCCCCGCTCAAAGCAGGACCAATCCCCAGACAGATTTTTGCCCCAAATTACCCCCTCAAGGATTGAACTCACAACCCTGAGTTTATCAGGCCAATGCTCAAACCACTGAGCTAGTCCTCCCCCATTAAGGTCCTCTGAATATTTACACACAAGCGCAAACCTGTCTTACTCTGCTTAAATTTAAGCATGTGTATAATTGCTTGCAGGGCTTAAAATTATACAAGCATATTATACAATCATTTTTATCTCTGTCATATATATATATATATATTGTAAGAGACAACATTACTTAATGTACTTTCTCACATAATTGTTTACCATTGTTCAGACAGTTCAACATAATATATTTAATAAAATGTCTAATTATGAAAGTTTGCTTTGAAAACTCTCTCTCTCTCTCTAAGTAAAACTATTGGTATTTATCAAGTCTGAAAATGGCCCAGTATCTACATACACCTCTACCCCGATATAACCCGACCCGATATAACATGAATTTGGATATAATATGGTAAAGCAGTGCTCCGGGGGGGCAGTGCTCCGGTGAATCAAAGCAAGTTCAATATAACGCGGTTTCACCTATAACACGGTAAGATTTTTTGGCTCCCGAGGACAGCGTTATATCAAGGTAGAGGTGTATTTATATCTGATATGATTAAATGTCAATCAACTTTTAAGCAATAAAAATGAGGATGTCTAACTCATATTGTAGTTTTCTTACAAGTTCAGAGATACCACAGAAATTGTATTGTATTTAGCATGTATGGTATTTAGCATGTAAATGAGTTATGGAAAAAGTAGATATTTTCATTTTAAATACTTAATATGACCTTTATTTTTTTCATAAGTAAAATCATTTGTTAATCATTTTGTTGATCCATGACAGAGGGCATTTTGTTTATCCTAACTTGCCTAATATAATATTTTTTCCTCATAAGTACATTGAGTAGACAATATAAAATACACAAGCTGAATCTCATGTGTATACTAAGAGATATGTCAAGATACTACTCACCACTTTCCCACCAGACTTTGTTTCAGCTGCACTCATTGTAAATGTTTTTGTCCCTTTATCGTAAGTACAGTAATGTTTTACCCAGGTAAATCCAAGGGGTCCTAGATGAAAGAAATGTAACAATTTTTTTTAAATCTCGGACATTTTACCACAATTTTATCATGTTGTCTCTCATTTGTATTTCACAGGCAAATATTAAGCTGAGTCAGCAGCAAATCAAAGAGAAAAAAAAAAGTTGTCTGTTTTACTTCTGAACTATAAATACATTCTTATGGTGCTTTCACCACATTTTTTATGCTGGCAACATTTTCACCAACTCTCAAGTTATATCAGAAGGGGAAAATTTTTCAAATCATTTTAAGGCACCTAAAGAAGGTCTGATATTGAAAAGTGCAGAGCACCTGCAAGCTCTCATTCATGTCGACTGTAGTTGGAGATGCTTAGCATCTCTGAAAATCAGGCCACTTGTGTTTGAGTGGGTAAGTACGTCTTTATGGAGGCAAATACTTGGCACCCAGCTTTGAACATTTTAGCTCACACATGCCTAATTTGTGACATTATACTTGTTATTTATAACCCATTGTCCAAGTGAATACAATCCATTTTAAATCCAATTTTATTCTTTCCTGGCATAGTCTACAAATATTATCAAAACTTTGTTCTGAGGGATACCTAGTGCTCCTTTCCTCCAACCAATACTCACCATGCTATTTCCACAATATATTGTTATAGCATTTTACAAATTTGCTTTTTGGGAGAAATGAAATACCTCATTGTTTCATAGCCCAACGGTATCTTTAACCTCTTGTGTGGTACTCGCAATAAACATGTATAGTATTACATTCAGGAATGGCAAATATTAACCAACCAACTTTTGGACAGCATACATAACTGGTTGTGGGAAGCTAAAGCCAGCATGATAAGGAAATAAACAATTAGCACCTTCATCTCTGAGACAGAGATTACAGATCTTCTGACTTTTCCCCAAAATAAACTAATGATCAAATCCTTTTTCAGTGAGAGGATGTCAAGTTGGCCTCTCACCATTTAATGAAACACTTCATGTGCCTGACATTTCACTCCTTTCTTGCTCTGCCATTAATAATGCCCAGTATAGTTTCCACTTAACACTGGTTTTTATTATTATTATTATTCAATTAAAGTGTACATGCTCTGCTCAAACCCCATCTATGCTACTGCTATTGCTGCTAAAAATCAGCAAGGTTAAATAAGAACAGAACAATGGCTCTCTCCTTTTCGCTCATATATGTTAATAGGCGTTAAGGCCAAGATTTCATTGGGAAAGTCAATTATCTATAACACACTACACTTTCTTGAAATGGTCTTGGGAAGGCAGATATCCTCGTGACTGAATCTATACCAGTCTTTGGGTAAGACCAGGTATGATACAGGAGATTCTAATGCCAGATGCCAAGTATGTTAATGTTAGACAAAGAAATTAGGAATGAATCAAAATTGGATTTGTATTCAAATAAATACCAGCATTTTATCATGATCTGTATTTGTTAGATCACCAAACTTGCATGCACACGCACACATACACATCTCAAACAAGGTCTCCCTACTTCTCCAGCTTCAGCCAGGCCCTCATCAAATAGTGCACTGTGTAGCACACAGGATTGAAATTGCTTTACTAAGCGGTTATAATGAACTTGGTGCAGCTCACTCAGCCTGACTGTTTACATTTGATTAGCTCTGAACAGTGCTATTTGATACTGCAGATCACATACAGCTTTTAATCTCTCTTCTGTCCTCAGTGTTTGGTATCCAGGGCTGTTCACTCTTTTAGTTTGGGTCAAACTGCTCTATGGTTCATTTCATGTCATCTCTGATTCTATTTCTCCTTCACATTGTGATGTATTGGATGACTCCTCTAAGGCTAGGTCTACACTACGGGGCAGGGGGTCGATCTAAGATACGCAACTTCAGCTACGTGAATAGCGTAGCTGAAGTTGCGTATTTTAGGTCAACTTACCTGGCTGTGAGGACGGTGGCGAGTCGACTGCTGCCGCTCCCCCGTCGACTCCTCTTCCGCCTCTCGCCATAGTGGATGTCCGGAGTCGACGGCAGAGCGATCGATTTTATCGCATCTACACTAGACACGATAAATCGATCCCCGATAGATCGATCGCTACCCGCCGAGTAGTGAAGACGTGCCCTCAGTGTTCTTGGTTAAGTCCATTAACTTTTTATTCTATTTGCTTAACCTCTTTGAACCCTGCTTAATTCCAATGCCTTTTCTTAGCACTTGCGCATAGATGAGCTATAAATCTATACCTCTTTATCAGGGTTCTCCAGTTACCTTTGTTTTTGTATTTCATGTTGTTTCTCTCACATATCAAATTGGAAGTTATACTTTGTTTTGCTTCTAAATCGCTACATCTTATGCTTTGCCCCCAAATGTCTCATGGATTAGACACTGGGTTGCTCCCTAGAACTCCTTGATCACCCTATATCTGTGAGGATCTGCTAGAGGCACTGGGGCATTTGTGAGGCATAAGACTGCTGGCTTTCAAGAGACACAAGTGGTGGCACGGGGTCACCTGAGGCATGTGAGAGTGCTGAGAGGCCAGTCTGTCAGTTTTAAAGAGAAAGGCCTCTAACAAGTCAGGATACTTTTTTTCCAGCTTATGATTAGTTGGGGCCAGACAGCTCCTGGGAGAGTTCCCTGTGGGCCAGTCTGACCTTAAATACAAACAAATCAACAAAACAGACATGAAACCTGCCTTACAATTTACCCGGAACAATTTACTTGGCATCCCCTACGAGCTGAAATGCAATAAGGCAATCATCAAATACTGGTTGTACACAGATGTAATTACTCACGTTTCTCCTGCACATAGAGATAGCCTTCCATTGTCCACTGACTGGGTGGCTGGTAATCCTGGTTGGCAGATTTCATTCTCTGCATCAGTCTCTCTACTTCCTGCCTGGTACTTTCAAAATTATTTCGTGTCTAAGGAAAATAAAACGAGCAAAATCATACTAGTAACTTACTATTTCTGAAGTATCTAAGACTATAAGTATAGGTATTATTACTACCTCTACTACTACACTGGAATATGCTAGTACATTCACACTTAAACAAACTGGGATGCTGCTCCAAAGGAAATTGAGTTATTAACCCTAGACATACACTATCCTCATTACTACTGTGTCAGCGGAGCACTGAAAACCTTGACTTAAACCCACAAAAGTCAAGGAAATTCAGAGTGAAGAGCAGGAGCTAGATCAGTGGCTCTCAACCTTTCCAGACTACCGTACCCCTTTTCAGGAGTCTTATTTTTCTTGCGTACCCCCAAGTTTCACCTCACTTAAAAACTTACAAAATCATACATGAAAATACAAAAGTGTCACAGCACACCATTCCTAAAAATTTGCTTACCTTCTCATCTTGACAATATAATTACAAAATAAATCAAATAGAATATAAATATTGTTCTTACATTTCAGTGTATAATATATAAAGTTGTATAAACAAGTCATTTTATGTATCCGAGGGGTAGCTGTGTTAGTCTGAATCTGTAAAAAACAACAGAGGGTCCTGTGGCACCTTTAAGACTAACAGAAGTACTGGAGCATAAGCTTTCGTGGGTGAATGCCCACTTCATCAGACGCATTTTATTAAATTTTAGTTTGTACTGGTTTTGCTAGTGCTTTTAATGTAGCCTGTTGTAAAACTAGGTAAATATCTAGATGAGTTGATGTACCCCCTGGAAGATCTCTGCGTATCCCCAGAGGTAGATGTACCTCCGGTTGAGAATCACTGTGCTAGACTTCACTGAAAGTACACTCAGTATCTTGCAAGATCTAGCACTATCTGGTCAAAATATACAATCAGATATTTGCATATTTGTGAAAATTACACCTTGTTCCTGCAGCAAATTTTAAAAGGTCAGTAAAAATAATCCTAATCCTAGTACTTAACTGGTATATACTGTATTATATTTTCATGTACCAAAATTAACTAATTAATCCTCACAAGGTCCCTGTGAAGTAGGAACAGTATGTACTAAACTAAAGCTGAAATTTACTTAGCCCATGTCTGTACAGCACTTTGAAGATGTAAAGCACTGTAAGTAAAGCACTGTAAGTACTGTAAGATCATGCCACTGTAATTAGAAAACAATAAGTGATTTAACTGACAAAAAAAATTAAGCCCCATACATTCATGGCTTTAAGCATTAGTATAATCACATGCAGGTTGAAGCACTCCTCTCTGAGGCAAATTGTGTTTAGCTAGGTAGCGAAGTCTAAAGAGGCAAGGTTCCTCCAAGAACTTTTAAAGAAAACTTTTTCCTAGGGAGACCAAAGGCCCAATCCAAACTCCACTGAAGTCATTGGAAGTCTGGCCATTGATTTCAATGGGCTTTGCATCACGGCCCCTGTGCCCCTGAAACCAGGAAGGACCCTGTTTTCAGTGCTCATCCATATGTCACTGCTGATGGGTTTTTTTAAACCAAGACAGCGTTTTGTCTCAGTTCTTGTCAAACCAAGCAGAGTGGCCACCTGAAGGAAGTGGCTGGCAAGCTGATCCAGTGAAACTGGCATCAGGCTGGGTGAGAACATGTGGACTCTTCAGGACCTATCACTTTAGAAAGGGCTGTCACATATTATTGTTGTCCTTCCCTCTATTAGGTCACCCAATGAACAACCCTCTTGAGACAGCCTTCCCTCCTGCAGAAAGTGTGACTCAAGTTCAGTCTGAAACTGGGCACTGCTGTGAGTGGTGAGTCTACAGGCAGCTCAGTCTATTCAAGCTTCTGCTCAACTCCTCTACATTGCAGGTGAGTATTGGCCTGTGAAAGGGGCTATTAGAGGAAAGAACAAAAGGGGAAAAGGAGGCAGACCAAAGGATAGAGTGGATGTGATGGAGTGAACACATGTTGCAGAGGATGAAGGTGGGCTAGCAGGGCAAAAGGTAGGGAGGGAAGATGAAAGAAGCAGGAAAGAGGAAAACAAGAAGAGAGAAAACTAAAGCATTGAAAATATAAGACAAAGGAGTGGACACCATTTTTTCTCCTCCACTTCCTCGTCTCTTGAGAGCTTCCTATATGCCTCCCTGATCACCACCACACACAACTAATTCCCCCTTCTCTCTCCTGCAGGAAAACCATCTCCGTTTTCTGTTCATCACCCTTTTGCTTACATAATTTTAAGTGTCTAGCATTCACATGTTTTGGGGGGGGGAAATCAAAAAGGTTTCTTCTTCTCGCTGCCTGACCCAGAGCTATGGCCCTGCAGATGTCATCCCACAAGCAATTTAAAAAAGGCATTAACAATTATTTAAACAAGAGAAAGAGGTGAATGTGTTTTTACCTAGTGGTAAAACAGGAGAAACAATTTAGCAATTCTGGTTCTCGTGGCACATTTACATAGAAGGTGTTAACACAGTCTCAATTTATTTTTTATCTATCTTTGGTCCATTATCCTAGACCCAGATTGGTGGAGATCTCCCATACTTTAAACTACTTAAGTCACTGGACTGAAGCATGGGAATTTTCTCATCCCTGAAGCAAGAGTGACCCCTTGTGTCTTTAACCAAAAGTGGCAAATATACAATTTGGAAGAAGAAAAGATTGTGAGGACTTGCGGACAGAGGGGGTCTTCTGTGTGCAGACCTGTGTGTGAAGTAAGGGCAGTGTTAGCGATCACCAGTCTATGTCCTTGGATAGCGTGAATAGCGTAGCACATCGCTCACCCGCGCCGCTTCTCGCTGCCCCCATTGGCCCGGGACGGCAAACTGCGGCCAGTGGGGGCCGTGATCAGCCGAACCTGCTGCATCAGCAGGTAAATAAAACTGGCCCGGCCCGCCAGGGTGCTTACCCTGGTGAGCTGCGTGCCGAACGTTGCCGACCCCTGTGCTAGACAGATGAGCTGCTGCATTCTGTACCACATGAAGCATTTCCTGGACATAGACCCTAAGTTAGGAAAGCACCCGAGCACGTGCTTAAGTCCATCTCTATTCAAGACAACTTAAATATGAACTTAAAGTGTGAGCTTAAGTGATGTCCTGTATAGGGATACATTTGTGAATTGAGGAGACAGTGAGTTGCACTAGCCAAACCTGGAAATCATGGATCAAACATTTGACAACTGATTTTCAAAGATTTCTGGTGGAAAGAAACTTGATGCCATACCTTTAATTCAGCAAACACTTTTCAATTATTCATATTTTTTTTATTTACGTTTCAAAACATTTCAAGATTTAGAACTGCAATAAAGCACTTCTACTCGCTCTATTATTTTGAAATTCAATTAGCTGAGAAATTGTAGTAAATACTGTTCAATCTTACATTCTGCAAGTTGAATTGCAACTGTTGCTTGTATGGGGTGAACTCCTGGGCCAGCTCATATCCCTCATGGTAAAAAGTAAATAATCCCTGAAGAAATGCCAAAAGCTGAAAAGGTAAAATAAGATGTTAATGCCAAAACATGCATTACAAATATTAAGAACCATGAATATCAAAAGAGGCATTATAAATATGAATCATCACAAATATAACAGAACACATGCTGATTTAGGAATGACATAAGAACATAAGAATGGCCATACTGGCTTAGACCAAAGGTCCATCTAGCCCAGTATCCTGTCTTCCAACAGTGGCTAATGCCAGGTGCCCCAGAGGGAATGAACAGAATGGGTAATCAACAAGTGATCCATCCCCCGTCGTCCATTCCCAACTTCTGGCAAACAGAGGCTAGGGACACCATCCCTGCCAATCCTGGCTAATAGCCATTGATGGACCTATTGTCCATGAATTTATCTAGCTCTTTTTTGAACTCTGTTATAGTCTTGGCCTTCACAACATCCTCTGGCAAGGAGTTCCACAGGTTAACTGAATTGTGTGAAAAAAGACTTCCTTCTGTTTGTTTTAAACCTGCTGCCAATTAATTTCATTTGGTGACCCCTAGTTCTTGTGTTATGAGAAGGAGTAAATAACACTTCCTTATTGACTTTCTCTATACCAGTCATGATTTTATAGACCTCTATCATATCCCCCCTTAGTCGTCTTTTTTCCAAGCTGAAAAGTCCCAGTCTTATTAACCTCTCCTCATATGGCAGACGCTCCATGCCCCTAATCATTTTTGTTGCCCTTTTCTGTACCTTTTCCAATTCCAATATATCTTTTTTGAGATGATGCAACCACATCTGCATGCAGAAAAAGTTATTAACTGCAAAAGAGAAAAGTAATTTCAAAGCACAGCTGACCCATTGTCCTTATATACAGGTGAATCTTAAGATGTTGGAAAACAAAAAATAAGGATACCTTATTTGTTGATCTCCTTTTAATTAGCAAAACTATGATCTTAATACTTTTGGACCCATGCTTGCATTCCTGGAACACTAAAAATTCTCATCACTTTCAATGGCAGCTTTGCATGAGCAAGGAATGCAAACTTTCAAAGTTCAAGGGATTTTTGTTTTGTTTTGAATCTATGACATTTCAGAACATTTTTCCACCTTCCTCATTCCAAAATCTCTGTCTATGACCTATTTTCTCCAGATGAGAGTCTTGAAAATAAGTTTTGGACAGCTTTATAACTGAAATGAATACAAAAAGTTCCAGATCACGTCTTCCTGCTCTAAAGAACAAAATATAAACTCTGATGAACTTTAACTGGTATGTCTTTTACAGTTTCCAGTAAAGAAATTTAAATCTGTATCCAGATTTTTTTTTTAATTAACATTTAAGCAGGAAAGAGTGCCACTGAAGTTTTCGAAAAACTCATTTTGGTCCTTTAATAAATATAATCCTGCCATCTATTTATGTTTAAAAGCCTTGTATTTAGGTTGATGTTTTTATACTGTGCCTATTGATAATAAAAAGAGGATGACTACTGATGATGCAGCAAGTTATATCACTATTAAACCTTTTATAGCTAGTTTTTCTTGTGGCATATGGCATAATTTAGTTTACTGTAATTATCTAAACATAAGAGCCTGAAAATGAAAGCACTATAGATACAAAGTACTATTATTATAATTATAGTACTTTATTAGTACTATTATTATAATTATAGTACTTTATGTTTGACATAAGTCAAATCTACAATAAGGATGTTTTCCACTTGGATACATAATTGTAAAGGCGGAAATCAAATGCTTAATGCATTTTTTTCTTTATTTATGTTAGCAATACCACAGATTATGAAAAATGAAACATTTTTAAAGTACTGATTTCACCATTTGTGCAATTTATATGATTTTTTTTTGCACTTCTCTCCCCTGGGATATTGAAACTAGACTGTTCTGTCTCACTCACTTGTTGCATGTGCCAACAGAGTACCGCGTTCTAGGGTGGCGAACAATGCAGTTGAATATTTGAAATAAAGCTGCTGCTGAGGATGATACTTCGTACATCTAGAGACCCTATGACCCCAAAAGTCCCTCAATGCCCACTGGTAGAGGGCCCACTACACTGTAACTCATATCAGGCTGGGCACACTCACTACCCCCAACACCTGTTGTCATAATATGTATCTAAAAAGTGTCTTGTAATGTGTCGTATGTAAATTGGTGACATGCTGGTCCTGACAAATCACTGTGATGTGCGTACTGGTTGGGTACAAAGAGTTACATATGTGTGCCGACATAGATTATTAAAATATATTTGGGAGGCAGTGCATGTGTAACCCACACACCTCCTGGTGTGTTGCTCTGTCCCATCTAATGGCACCAAGATCACTTAGCGAGAGTTAAATGAGTCTGCTCTACAGCCTTAGGTAACAGCCAGTTGGCTTTTAGCTCATGCAGTAGAGGCTCATGGACTAAGCTCCAGAGATCCCCGGTTCAATCCCACCTGCCGATAACCAGGGTCTGTCGGCCTTACACATACATCGAGCCTGCCCTAGACAAGGAATGTGGATTGCCTTGTCTGATTGGTTTGAATACAGGAAAAGGACAATTAAAGTATATTTGCATATAAGGTAAAAAAAGTAATCAAGCTAATGGAGGAAGTAACTTAGAGAGCTCACCAGAGGTCAGAGTCTGTACCCCAGGAAGCCTTCCTGGTTTTTGAGGCACAGACAATGGTCTTTGGTCAATATAAGGGGAACAAAGACACATTTTAGTTATCCACCACTTGGGGGACAGAGGATACAACACCGTCTGAGCCTGTGAAAGTTGGATCCCCTGGCCTGGAGGCTTAGAGATGCCGGTAACTTGATGCAAATAAGAAAACTGCTTAGGCAAAGACCGTAAATTCCTAAAATTAAGTTTGAGTCACTAGAATGCATGTTTTGTTTTGCTTGTAACCAGACCTCTCTCTTTTTCTCTTTCTTAGTATCACTTAAATCTCTGTTCTTTATTAAGCTTATGCTTGTTTTACTACAGAACCATCTCGGTGCTGTGTATTAAAGTGAAGTGTGAGTCTTCAGCTAACTTAACAGGCTGGTATGTGCTGTGTCTCCTTGGAGTGTGTCACAGTGAGAGGAACTGGACATTGCAGAGAGACATCTCCAGGGAACTCGATATCTGGGGTTAACTGACTGTTACCTGCAAGACAAGGTTTAGACAGGCAGAGTCTCAAGGAGATTGCTGGTGAGGTACACAGACTAGTGTGGCAAGGAGCTGACACACAGTCTAATCGCCAGCAAAGCTCTCACCTGCTGAGACAGAGGGGTAACACAGTGGCTTTAAGTTCTAGGTGTCCTGATCAGAACATTACAGGCCTTTCAATCTGTGTTTCTCAAAACACTTTACAAACAACAATTCATTAAGTTTCACAATACTCTTTTGTAGGTCAGTATTATTATCCCTAGGGGGAAACTGAGGCAAAGGAATAAAGCTCTCAAGGTTGCGTAGCAAGTCAGCGGCAGAGCCTGGAACATAAAATAGACCTCTTGAGCATTAAGCTTTTTTAACACCCTATGTTTATTTTACATATATGGCTCTGAATTACATGGCAATGTCCATTTCAAAGCAACTGCAGATTACACAGCCAAGAGGAAAGATCCTCAGCTGGTGTATAGTTGTCCTAGCTTCATTGACTTCAACTGGGCGATGGCAAGTTACACCATCTAAAGATTTGTCCCTTGCAACTTTCTCTTTATTAGAGGTTTTGCAAATAAAATACGACAATTTCTCAGAAAAAATCAGAGATCTATCCAAGATCTGAGAATTGACATTGACTAGGGAATTTTTAAATTTGCGTTTTCCTCATCTAAAATATTTTTAGGACATCTTTTGTTTTAAAGCTACTCTGTGAAATTTCTTTTTAATGTGAAAAACCAAAATTAGAAGAATGCACTCTATGCTTATGGTGGGCTTTTTTAAATGACTAAAATATATATAAAAAAAATGCACTGACCCCTTCTTGCTGTGTCAGTTTATATGTTTTTTAAAGATAAGTTTAAGACCTGTTTGTGAAGAACACTCACTTTTGGCTGTTTATTCTATAGCTCTGGGAAAGATGCATTAAAAAAAAATCAGCAAACCTCCTTCACACATGTCCTTTATATTTTTTTGTCTTCATTTTCCCTAATACAAAGGGCTTTTGTTAAGGTTTGAGCATACTGTGAAATGAGAAAAAAATACCTGGCACTAGATGGCAGCAAAGTTGAATTTATAAGAAAGGATAACACAACTGGATAAATATAAGGCTATAATGCTTTATGTTTTAGCTATGGTGCATTAAGTTGTGTTTGTTTGTTTTTAAGTGACTATTCTTGCAGTGTGGCAGTTGTGCATTGCATGGGATCTGGCCTTGGGAATCTCTTGGTCAAGAGCTCCCCAAACACCCCTCCCACCCCCCCAAAATGTTAACGTGTCTTTCTCACTCAGTCCCCTGATGTATTTCATGCCTTGTGTAGAAATCATGTATACTGAGGATGCAGGTATGCATGTATGTAAACACCACTGATAGTGAAAGGAGACCCTGTTCTGTAAGGCCCTTCCACAGCCCCTGCAGGAGAGCTCATGGCCTGGCCTAATAAGCACTGTGTTTGGAGAGCCAAAATTGAGGTGAAAAACTTTTGTCCCTCGCTCATGATGTTTGTAGCTTTTTGGTGGCTACTTACACGCAGCACTACACCAGAGTCTGGCCCATTACATGTAAATTTAGAGAAAGCATGCTGAATGTTTTTTTTTTAAAGATGATTCTCAATATGTATTTTTCAAGGTGATCTTAATGTGTTAAGAAGTGATTGGTTTCACCAAATGTTACATACAATCCCCAATGTGTTTATATTATCAATTTTCCAAGTGCAACAAGCACTTTACTGCTACTTCACTCTGAATACCTAATCAGCCAGATCAATACAGAAATCAGACTTGTACTCATTGAAGACAATAATCGGTCTGCATGCTGCAAGAGCTGCAAGGATTTCAACAGAGAACCTGAAATAGACTCCAAAGACTGCTTGGGCCTTTATTTATTTTTATGTAAAGTTTGTGACC